TGTTCTCAGGCTAATCATACTCATCATTCCAGAAGTCAATCCCTTTAACTTCCCTGTACCTTGGATTCTCTAGTGATATAACAGATATAATGGGGAAGGCTGTGTTGCCTTAGAAATGAGTATGGATTTGAAGACATCAAAGCCATGACACAAATTCTGTTGGTATGAAATTTTAGGGCATGAAAAGGTTTCACTGTCCAATGACACTATCATATTCTGTTTTCTCTCCTACCCATGTTTTCAACTTGTGAAACTCACATGCGGCATGAGACAGGGAGGCTAAGTTTTGCTGTGACAAAACCTCCATATCCCTGAGGCTTAGTTCTCATTCTCATAAATCTGATACGGGTCAATCTCCTCTCCTTGGTGGCTACCTTTCAATTGTGTTGAAACTTTTGAGTTGCTTCCATCTCGAAATGTTGCTACCTCGGAGTTGCAGGGGCAGGAGGGAGAGCATGCATGGAGTTCACAGCCCCCTTCTTTGTTTTATTAGTCCACCCCTGAGGATATTTTTCTATTGATATTTTTTTTTAGCGAGAGTGGAAGGGTGGGAAGAGACCGAGAAACATTGATGTGAGAGAGACACACCGATTGGTTGCCTCCTGCATGAGCCCTTACCAGGGCTGGGAATCGAGCCTGCAATCAATGTATGTTGCCCTTGACTAGAATTGAACCCAGGACCCTTCTGTCTGTGGACCAACGCTCTATCCACTGAGCCAACGGGCTAAGGTACCCCTTTTGACGGCATCACTTCACTCACTCATACTCATGAACCAGAATGAGTCACATGACCGCATCATAAATGCAAGGGAGATTGAGAGATATGGTGGAGCTTGTGGAATATGTGAGGAGCACTAGTGTTTATGTCATATCTTCCATAAGTGTAAGTATTTGTTTTGTGATGTCCAAACCAGGCAGGGATTCAATGAGGAAAAATCCATTCAACAACCTTTCCAGTGATTACCAACCAGAGATACAAAGACAAATAAGGCCCAGATCTAGCCTGAGGAATTCCTGATTGGGAGGCGGGGGCAGTGAAAGATATAAATAATAAATCCCTGGGCCATGGATAATCGCTTGGAGGTATAGATGAAGTAAGTGGGAGATGGGAGCGATACCTCTGTCCTAGTCAGGGAAGGCTCTACAAAGGAGCAGACTTGAAAGCTGGTCCCTGAGTGATTACAAAACAGCTTTACCTCGACCTTTAGGAAGGCTGCCACCTGTATGTAACTTTGCACGTGTGCTAGTTGTTTGTGGAAACTGATCTCATTACATTGCGGTTCGTGATTCAGGACTAAGAGAGAGATAGCCAGGGACAGACAGCATGAGGTAGAGGCGAGACAGGCGGTCCCCTCAAGGAGGGAGACCCAGGTTGCTCTGGACACCCAGAGAAGGGGCCAGCATAGGATGTGTGAAGACGGGATGTGAGCAAGAGCATTTGTTAGGGACAATGCCTGTAAGAGGAACGAGGGAGGGAACCAGGAGAGGCCGAAAGGGCCGTAGGACCACAGTGAAAACACCCATGGTTTTCAGAGCAGCTGGTGAAGACCTGAGAGGCCCACGTACGCCGGCCACAGTGTGAAGCACTGGGTACCCCGACCTGTGAAGTCACATTGTATGTGGTTAAGCGCTGAACAGATATTCAGTTGTGATTGTAAACCTCCAGGATGGATTATAATGGTCACACCAACTCTGAGCACCTCAGAGTTCACAGGGAGGCTAGCAGATGGAAATGAACCAATTCCGCTGGAGATGTTGTTTCTGAAACCGAGTAAGAGATGGTATGTGAAATGAGGGCTTTAGGGTTGCCATCCAAAGCTCTTTCTAAATGGATTTCGATTCTGGATTTGGCAGCTGGTGAGGTTGTGAAACTCCTTTTCTCTTGGGTGTTTAAGATTGGGAACAAGCAACAAGTGTTGAGTAAGGATCTGCTATGTGCTTATCACTGCCTGGCTGCCATGGGGACTCAGAACCGTAGGAGGAAGCTCACGCTGTGGAGGAGCATGTCAGAGAGATGAGAACTATACTCATAAGTGACAGAAACACCAGCGAACAGGACTAGACAGGCATAGCTCAACAACGTGGACAGACAGTCTAACCTGCTCAGACCAAGGAAATAGAGTCCTGCTCTTGACCATGAAGCCAGGCGGAACCGGCCCTGAGACTGTGCCCATTGACAGGCCCTAGAAATGACAAGAACCCAGTGAAGATGGGGGTGCCCTCAGTGAGATGGAATGAGTGGAAATCTGAAGTGGAAAGATTATTATTAGGTGGCTGAGTCGGATCTCTCTTGGGGTTCTGGTCGCAAAGTCCCACCTGCCACCCAAGCTTCTGGGATACATTCATGTTTCACTCTGAGTGTCTGAGCCATTGGCCTGAAAGCCATCCCCACCCCATCCTTCATTCTTCCCTGGTGTGTGTGTGTGTGTGTGTGTGTGTGTGTGTGTGTGTGTGTGTTGGGGCTGGGTTCTGTGTTCTCATGGCCATAGATGGGTCTGATGGACACTCTCACCCCAAGGCCTGGTCTCAGATGCCCATTTTAGGAAGAAGGAGGCTTGAGCTGAGTCGCCCCAATGATACACACTACAGTCACTCTAGGGAGGTATCCCCAGCTACCCCTGCTGGAGGGCAACCAAATGAGTAACCCTGCCAGTGTCACGTGGTCCTGGCACGGAGCTGGCTCCTGCGGGTGCCCGGTCCCTCTGATGGCTCACAACACACACACACACACACCCTCGCAGTGGCCTTGAGAGGACGAAGGGTCTGTCTGAGGGTCGTGGAGAATGAACAGTTGAACTTGCAGAAGGAAGGCTATGGCCCGGTGGGCAGGCAACTGGAGCTGGTGTGAGAGTTTCTAGAGGAGAAATGTTCTGGAGAAGTGTGGCCTGGGAGTCTCCGGGTGGAGATCTCGGGGAATAACCCGCCCCTTCCCACGCATGTCCTTGGCCTCCTCAACCCAGCTCCTGTGGCTGACACAGAAGTCCCTGCAGCCTGCTCACCCGGGGCAGAGAGGGATAGAAACTAGCTCCCAGATGCAGGATGATGCAATGGCGAAAACCCACCATCGGAATCTGAGTCGGGAACTCAGGAGACCCAAACTCTTCGCCTTGGAATTGGCCGCAGTGCCTAGCGTTTTGAGGAGCTGCATGGCCGATCCGGGTCCCCAAGGGACTCGTATTTCAGGGCCTTTGTGTGACTGATGGTGAGGTTTAGATATTTGCTCTGGGCCTTCGAGTGCCCTTCAACTTGATCTTCCGCGTCATTCATTTGGGTCTCCGCTGTGTACTCAGATCCCCTAAATTCTCATATTTCCTTCCTTCCTCCCTCTTGCTCCTCATCCTCCTACTTGCTGTCTCCCTTTCCTTCTCCTTCTCTCTCCCCACTCTCCATTGACATCTGTCCCCGGAGGCACTCCATTTCATTTGGGCCATTATTTTGGGGGGTCAGCTGGCTTTTTCTCTCTCTGTACCCCCTTCGGTGTCTACCTCAGGGCCTGGGGTGCTTGAAGCAGCAGCCCAACACAGGATGGAGAGGTTGCCCAGGCTCCCCTGAGCTTGATTTTTTACTCCCTGGGATGTTCAGTTACATGTGTTCCACTTACCTGATGCTCACCTATGTGGGCAGGTCGCCCATTAGCACTTACTAGAACGTTGGCACAAATGAATGAATCCAACGAGCCCTTTGCCGCCTACTTACTAGTAAGTGAATCATTGGTCAGAGAAAATGGGACTCAAATAGTGAGGCAGAGAGGAAAAAGGCTAGAGGTAGTGTGTACGGAGATTCAGACAAGGGTAGCAGTGGGGATGTGGGCCAGTAAGCAGGAAAGGAGGTGTTACTGATAATAAACTTGTGCCCAGGATGGCTGCAGGAGTTCGAGTTGTTTCAAAGAGAAAGAAGACTAGCACCAACAATGGCTAAAAAGCTTGGGCCTGGAGGAGATGGCTGGGGACTACTTAACCCCGTGCCCTGTACCCAGATAAGAAATTACCTGTGTTGCCTTGGCCGGTGTGGCTTAGCTAGTTGAGTGTTCTCCCATGCACTGAGAGGTCTCTGGTTTGATTCCCCAGTCAGGGCACATGCCTGGGTTTCAGGCTTGATCCCCAGTAGGGGGCATGCAGGAGGCAGCCGGTCCATGCCTCCCTCCCCCTCCCCCTTTCCCTCCCCCCTCTTAAAAAGAAAATCAGTAAAAACATATTTAAAAACAAAGAAATTGCCTGTGTTATCTAGAAGAGGAAATTAGGTATCTGTAGGTATCTGCCATTTACTGAGTGCCCACTATGTGCCAGATGTTACTTCTGAACCTCACGAGAATCCTGAAAAATAAACATAGCGCTCTCCATTCTCTGAGAGAACCTGCAGCTCAGAGCGGTATTTTGTCCAGAGCCACCCAGTAGAGCTCAGGTTTCTCCAATCCCATGGCCGATCTTCAGACACAAGGGACAGGGCTTACTAACATTTTTCACCGACTCTGCACAGAGCCAATAAGACTGATACCAAGGAGGATGCTGCATTGGATAGAAAGCTCCTCTACACCCAATATAAGTCTCCTCTCTTCCATTATGTCCTCATTGAGGATAAAGCCCAAATGATTGGCATTCTTTCTTGGCTGCCTCTTCGTAAAGATATACTTCTGGGTCTTGGTGTGGGGGAAATACACTTTTGGCTTTAATGGTTCAGAGAAATTGAGACCCCTCATAGCAGCACCTCCACAATGTCCTCCAATCCCTCCTGCCCCCCCATACTACTTAGTCTGTTTGTATGTTACCTTTATGACGACACTTGCATTACTTTACTTGGTAGCAGAGTAATTTATCTACTAGACTAATTGCCTCTATTAAGTAGAGACCGAGTCTTCCTAATGTAGCAAGATAATTTGCAGTGAGATTAATTTCTGTGTTGTTCTTGCTGATGTAAGTTTATTCCCCTTTTGTAGCCTAAGAAGGTACCCAAGGCTTTTTATTATCAGACTAACATAGTTATTACTGGCTTTTGTGTTACAGGGACCAAAGCTGAGGCCACCAGACCCCAGACAACACTCTAAGGAGGCCGTGGTGACTGGAAGCCTCGCCTGCACAGGTGAGAGATAAGATTTCCGGGGATGGAGGAGGCCCAGGGCTGGAGAGGAATAGAATCTTCTAGAAGGGGTGGGGGAAGGCGCTCTCTTGGGAAGAGGCAAGTTCGCCAGGTTGTATAAGTGGTAAGGCCTAACCCCCAGCTCCCAGGAGAGACCCTGAGGAGAGGGAAGGCTCTTGGAGAGGGTGGTTTCTGGTTACTGAGAGATGCTGGGCATGAGGTGAGTGGCTGTTTTCGTGCCCTGGTTTGGCAGAGGCCAGCAGAACTGTCCACCTTCGCAGGACAGTGAGCATGCTGGCCGTAATTCACGTGGGGACTAGGGGTCAAAGTTCCCTTCCAGAACACTGGACCGCTTTAGACCCCGAGACTCTACTATGACCCTAAGATTCAAAAGCTTCAGCAGCCTCCCCCAAACATGTTACGACACAGACTCAGTTTTGCACTTGGCTCAACCGGTGCGGGTTTAGCACAGACCGAATTGGATTGAAAACAAATGAGAGGATTTTATAATGACCCTTGAAGAAAATAACAAAGCAAGATGCCAGATCTAATATCCTCCTCTTTCCTACGTTCACGGTCACACTGCTTCTCTGGCTCATTACGCTGCTCAGTCTTTCTGTCTCAGCGTCCTGGGACCAACTCAAGTTTGGTGATTTGCTAGAAGGACTGACTCATGCCTGCAGTTAAGGTTTGTTATAGCCAAGATTCATGGCAAAAGCAGCAGGAAGAGGAGACACGTTGGGTGGAGTCCAGAGATGTCAGATAGAGGCTTCTGAGTTTTTCTCCAGCTGTGGCCACACAGTATATGAGCCTTTTCTAGACGTTTGTAGAACGTCTTTGCCCAGAGAAGCCCACTCTTGCCTCAGGATCTGAAGCTTTTATGGAGGGCTGGTCCCATAGGCACACACTTCTATGCAGCTGGCCATGGTAAGCAAAGCTCAGGACCCCAACAGTGAAACCAGATACATCCTGATTCTTGCTAAATGGTCTTTTTATTTTTTATTTTTATTTTTTAAATATATAAAGTATTACAAAGAGTATTACAGGCACACACTTCTATGCAGCTAGCCATGGTAAGCAAAGCTCAGGCCCCAACAATGAAACCAGGTACATCCTGATTCTTGCTAAACGGTCTTGTCTAGCATCCCCCTTTATCCCGGCGCACACAGCATCATAATCAGTAGCATGAAGGACAACAGGAGTTGCCCAAGGGTCAGACTGGGTTCCGGGCTTCCCTAGAGAAGTCCCCCGATTCAAGCTCAGCCCCCCAGGCACCCTCTTCCTCCCATGTTTTCTTCTCAGCTCAGAGGACAGGTCATGCCTGTAGCTTTTGTGACCTTCTTCCCACTTCCTTTCTCATTTCCTTCGATTTTGGTGTTTTAAAATTTTAACTTTTTTCTAAAATTTCTCTTTCCTGTTCCCTCTCATAATTATCTTTTTTTTTTAATGGAGAGCCAATAGATTGCCTCTCACTCTAGGGATTTTACAACATAGATGTGGCTGCTGCTTGCAAAGGGGTGTAATATAGGGGTGTCCATGACCTTTAGAGTGGGCCAGGCACCAGCACCAGAAACCTAAAAGCGAAAAATAATACTTTAGAATTTCCCGGCCTCTCCCTCAGGAATTCTTTTTATTTTTCATT